ACACTCACATGGGAAGCTGTCGGGTAATCATATTGGGTGATGAAGCATCAGTCATTACGGCCAATCAGGCTTCACTGCCAGCTTGTCTGTCCAATACAATCGCAGGTTGGGGTTTTTTTTTTTTTTTTGCCTGTCTGGCTCAGCTGGCGATGTCTGTGACATCATCAGCGATGAATACTGTCAGGTATCAGACTTGTTGTCCACCTGTCTGTCTGTCTGAGTGAGTGGCATGTTTGGTTAAAGGATTATTGAGATACAGGCTGACTGTGTGTGTGACAAGTGACACACACTCTCACAGTTGCTGTGAAAAGATGCTCAGATATCTGTGAAGACTGTGAAATGTTGTAATGACGGTGTGTGATCTGTATCCAGAGGCTTTTTTGCATTCTTGAACGTCCTTCAAGACGCGATGAAATTCTCTAATATTTGACTGTTTGAATAGTTGTAATCCGGCTTTAATGCAGATGATGCAAATGAAGTTCTCTGTGTGTTTGTTCATCTCTGTGTCATATTCAAATCTCCCCCGCTGATGGAAAACTACCAGACACAAACCTGTTTCAGTTCACTCATGTTCTCTTGTGTAAAAACTCAAAGAAAAGGTTTGACCATTTGAGAAAATACTTTTCCTCTCTTTCTGAGGGTCAGATCGATGCCACTCTCATGTATGTACGTTAAATATGAAGCTACAGCCAGCAGCCGGTTTGTTTAGGGAACATTTCAGTTGCCAGACGAAAATGTTAGTATATGTTAGAAGCATATGTGTTTCTGGAAACCATGGATATGTTACATCTGCAAGAGGGCACTTTAGCGCACGTTTTTCAACAATTGGGCCAGAACAGGGTTTGGCTTCGTAGGGGAAGCTAACATGGCCTCCCAGGTGAAAGTCGGTGGTTGTTGGACCCTCTCACCCTACTCAGACTTCCACTACCTTAACTAACATTGTTGTCACGTTTTCCCCTGTCACCACTGGGTGGAATTTCACAATAATGGTGACGTATCATACCGATATGAAAGGACGGCTTCTCTCGCCAGAGTCTGAGGCTGGAATTCACTGCCCAAGCACTGGTATTAGAGTGAGAACTGGTCATAAGCTCTTTATAGTCTGTGACTAAAAACCTACATTGTCTTTAGATATGAGAGGCCGTCACACTGAAGTCTGCCAGTGTGTGGTAGGCATTAGACTAGTGTTTAAATTAATATGCAAATCAATTATTGACACCAACACACACTTAAATCCATTCAGTCCTTATTTTTGCTTCTGTCATGCTACAATATTTATACATGTTGACAGACGTTTGTCTGTTTTGAAGTTTTTAGTTTTGTGTATTATGAAGTATTTTTTTGCCCACTCACTTCCTGAGTGTCCTGCACTCTTGTGACCCGTAAGATTCACAACAACAAATACAAGAAAACACGAAAAATCAGAAAGTTCAATATATCTACAAGTACAGTCTCTGTGTTTACGGGGGCAGAGGAACATTTAAACTCCCCCGAGGTTCACAAATGTCCCAAATTCCCAACAAGAAGACAGAGAGGACATGACCTCAGTGTCCTCAGAGGTGGCTGTGGTGCTGATCAGGACCGAGACTGTTGACTTGTGTGTTTAATATTGTCTGCAACAGGGACCAGAAGTCGAGTGTTAAAAGTGGAAATGGAATGAATGAAAAATAATAGTCATTAAGCAAGCAGGTGTGTGTGTGTGTGTGTGTGTGTGTGTGTGTGTGTGTGTGTGTGTGTGAGAGAGACAGAGAGTAGCAGCACTTTAGTGTGTTGTTGGAGCCCTGAGCTGCAGTTGGTGAGTCATCAGCAGATAAAGATGCTCTCTTTCCCTCTCTGTCTCTCCATTCACACGTCCAGCTCACTGGGGGACACAGCAGTGTGTGTGCATTTGTGTGTGTATTCACATGTTCAACAGATGTTCATATTAATGTTTTTCTCTCGAGACCGAGGTGGTAAATGTCTTCATCTGGTCCTGAACTGAACACGTCTGTCTGTTTGTTTATTGAGACACGTTGAACCTGTGTGGAAAACAAAGTCGTCTTTACCATAAATAAATGTGCTCTAGCACGACTAACTGAAGACCTACATTCAAAGAAAATTAGACATTTCGTAAGGGAATTTCGTAAGATTTGGCAGAAACATACACTTTGACTCAATGATGAAGTGATTAGATTTTGGTGGTCATAGGTCAAAGGTCAAAGTCACAGTGACCTCATTTGTGTCATTCTTTTGAAAGCGATATCTCGAAATTTTTCTTAATTTCTTAAGATTTGGCAGAGACATTCACTTGGACTCAATGAACACAAGAGATTTTGGTGGTCAAAGGTCACTGTGACCTCACAAAATATGTTTTTGGCCAAAACTCAAGAATTCCAATGCTAGTTATGACTAAATTTTGCAGAAATGTCTTAGTGGATAAAAAATAATGAAGTGATGACCTTCATATCCAAAAGGTCAGCTTCACTGTGACATCATAATGTTTAATTATTCAACATCATATCTCAGGAACAGAAGAAGAGACATTTGGTCAGATACTGAATTGATGTGTGTGTGAAGCATCCATGTTTTCACAGACGTGGATGTTAACTGTAACTGCACCTTGACTGGTTTGCAAAACATACAAACACAAGGTGGTTATTCTAGTTTGGAGAATGAAATTAAGACACAGCACACAGTAATACAGATGCTCCTCTCTTGGCTAGTGATCGTCATCTTCAACAATTGACTTATCTGTAATAAAATGAGCACTACAGATTTTGGAGTTTTGGAGATTTTTCCCAATGGTGTCCAGTTCTTTCCTCTGGCGCTTTGCACTGTTCGTTTCTTCAAGGAAGCAGTAGACTTTTATTTCTGACATCAAGTTTGAACCATGTTAAAGGGAACAACCTCCAACTGAGCCGCAAGGTCCTGAAACTGATTTTGTCATTTCCCACAGTGTGTATTTCAGGAGGACTAAAGTTCAGTGTTTCATATGTTGCAATGCTTGCAATACTGGCTGGACTGAAAGTCTACCTGAAACAATGATGTCATTTCTTGACAACCTAAACACGCCCTGAAACAGCCTATAGACTAACAGGTTGTGCAAATGCTGCGTCTTTAACCGCATGGAGAACGTGAGGTCAGATGCTGGGTGCTAGGCTTGTCTTGGGTCTTGTGCCAGCTTTCAAGAGCGCAGTGGCAGGTTGCGTCTAAGGTTGCTAAGCAGCCTTAACAAGCACCGTAACACAGCCTGTTGACCTGAAACCCTGAGTGCAGAGCTGATCTTCTTCCATGAGCTGTTTGTGTGTAGGCCTGTGTAAAGTTCTGGCAGCCCTGCACTAAAATGATCAACTTCTTCTCCATATTTATGACATACTGATATTCGATTGGTGATTGGTTGGTCCTCATGACATGACATGCAGTGTGCGCTGCTGCGTTCCAAAAGTTGAATTCTGTTTATCTCAGGCTGCAGCCTGAAAAATAGGCAGTTGGGGACTCTCTGGCGTTTAAGCGTGCCTGCCACGTGTCTACACTGAAAACAATGAATTTTAGAGCGCAAAAAACGCATGCACAGCCCCTTAGGAGTCTCTCACACTCACACTCACACACACACACACACACACACACACACATACACTGATGCAGACAGACAGTAAGTGGGATCTATGTGGCGTCTCAGAGGTGCAGGGCCGAAGCCTTGGCGTCATAACTCTGCTAATACACCACACACACACACACACACACACACACACACACACACACACACACACACACACACACACACAGAGTCCCCAGGTGTGGGTTTGGAGGATGTGGCCTTGGCCTGATCAGCCTCCCGTGGGGTGGGAGGAAGCGCTTGATTTATGAGTCTGGGACGCCAGAAGTTCTTAGGTGGACACACACACACACACACACACAGACAAAGAGTTGCGCTAAATGAGTGACTCATTAAGTTTGTGATCTTAGACAGGAAAGGAAGGTAGGAAAGAAAAAAGTAAGGAGAGAAGGAGAGGAAAAAACAGAAGACGAGAGCTCTCAGAGAATGAGCCTGGGTGTCAGTCTGTGGACCCGACTGTTTGATCAGCTGCTGCCTCTGTAAATCAGGAGATAATTACTCACAGGCTGTGAGCTCAAACTAAACAAAAGGTGAAGCGTAAATGTGTTCTTCCTTTCATACACGTAAATCTTGCCCTCAGTGTGGCGTTATTGGCTCCATATTTGTGTGTGTAGCTGCAGGTGTGTGTGTGTGTGTGTGTGTGTGTGTGTGTTGGTCCTTGTGGAGGTGATAATGGCGAATCACTGCTGTGTGTGTGTGTGTGTGTGTGTGTGTGTGTGCGTGTGTGCGTGTGTGTGTGAGGTCTGTCTCTTTGCTTGGAGGCTTTAAACCACTAAACAAAATGAATTCTTGTTGTTTGCTTTTCTTCTGTTCTCCAGGAGCAAAAACTCAAATGTGTTTAAGTCGACTTGTTTAAATCACAATCAGGTTTATCGCCCAGCAGGTTGTCACACACTGCTAGCACTTAACAGCTAAGAATGTCCACAAATAGTAAAAACAATGAGGTGCAGGAGCTCCTTACCCTCTGAGCAGAGGGCGAGATCAAGCGGCATATAACAGGGACGGTAAATGATTGTTATTGTTTATAAAGTGCTGCCGGCTGGTTCTGTGTAAAAATGCAAAGGCGGTGTAAAGAAGGGACTTGGTAGCAGCTCTCTAACGACATCTCTGTGTACATGCTGGGGGATTTTTTTTTTAAATTTGGCACAAATGTCCACTTGAACTCAACAATGATGTGATTAGATATTGGTGGTCTTCAGTCAAAGGTCAAGGTCAATGTGATCCTACATCTGTCTCATTTTTGTGAACATGATACCTGTTATCTCATGAACGATGACTTAATTGATAAAAATTTGGTGGTCGAAGGTCAGAGGTCAGTGTGACCTCACAAAACATGTTTCTGGCCTTTCTACAAACTCCTGCTTTCAACAGTCTAATTTATTGTCTCCACTTTGTGTCTTAACAGGTAAAGGTCACGTGATGTCAGAATGCCTGGATCCCCAGCCACTTCAGAGCGCCACCCCAACACCAAGGGACAGGAAGTGAGGGACATGGAGCTGTTTCTGGATCTGTCAGAGTCTCCTTTTCTTTCCACCTCGTCTGCAGCTTCGGAGCAGCAAGGGGACGGCAGCTGGAGCCAAGACGGAGACCTGCAGGGATGTGGACAGTGAGTGTCCCGCATATATGTATCATGAGAGCTTAGTAGTGGAATCCAAGGGTTTCACAAATATTAGATTTATCAACCAAAGAGTACTAACATTGTTTGCAGCCAGAGGCATCCTGTCTCTCATGTAATGGTGGTTCTTGGAGGTTGAGGGTTTACTGTCTAAGGTTTCTTACATCTGGAACACAACCTGGTAGATCTGGTTTAACTTTGGCACTCTATGGAGTCGCCCCCGCTGCCGCCACAAGACCATTTATAACCTCCATGTCTTTGTGTCTCACATTCCAGCAGCCTGTGTGTCTTTCTTGCTGTTTGACTTCCTCTGTGTTTCCAGATTAGAGAGGAAGTGGGTGCTCTGGCACGAGTTCATGAAAGAACACGCCCACCTGGACACTTGGCTTCGACTGGCCGAGCAGGCTGTCAGTTCCCCCAACTCTGCCCACGTTACCTGCATCACTGCCAAGGAAGAACTGAGGAAGTTTGAGGTGAGTAGAAATGAAACACAAATTACTGTAGAGTGGCAAATTCCAGGAACACTGGAGGTGGAATCTTTCCATGGGAAAAGATTTTTGCTCAGGCTGTATTTACTATCCCTACTCTCATTTTTCAGTTTTCGCATCCTTGATTCCTTTCCTTGCCCTCTCTCCTCATGTTTTAATCCCTCCCATCCGATGTGAGCGGAGGAGTCAAGGCAACAGGCATTTAATATAATGAGACATCTGGGCTTCGAAGCAGTGTCAGTTAAATATGACATGAAACACAGCTGCATTATTTCCTGTGTGTCACGTCATGAATGCAGGAGAGACTTGTGCATCCTCACTCTTCTCTCATTGACATGCATTTTAGGAATTGAGACATCCGTAAGCATCCCGCTGTGAATGATGTCCAGGTCACAGGCAGGAGGACGGAGGAGACGAGGAGGCACAAAATGGACAAATGAGAGACAAAATGCACAATAAACACAGTTGAGTCAGGACCACATTAGTCAAAGAAAAATTACTTCCATTTACAGTATTGTCTCTGCCTTTACTAGGCCTACGCAGAAAGCCTAAGGTGGAGAGAGCACACCTCTCTGCCCTTTCACACGCAAACAAGGAAAGCCTGAGGCAGAGAGAACAAACCTCCCTGCCCTTCCATATGCCTACATGCAAAGCCAAAGGCAGGGAGAGCAGCAGCAAAGACCCCCTCCCCGGGTACAGAAAGTGAAGAGATGTCAGAGTGAGGGGGCTGCCTTGGTCAGGCGCCCCGAGCAGTTGGGCCCAGGAGGTGAACTGGCACCTCTCTAGCTACCAGTCCACGCTCCATATTTGGTCCACATGGGGACTTGAACAAGCGACCCTCCGGGTCCCAACCCAAGTCCCTATGGACTGAGCTACTGCCGCTACTGCTTCTTAAGGGTTAGTGTTAGTTACAGTAACGAGTATAGCTGCCGTCAACTTGAGTCATTTTTGAGTTATCTTCACTTTGTTTCCACTGCGGCCGCTCGGCTGTTCACCGGTTACCGTGTTGCGTCAGTGTGTGTGTATGTGGAGGAGTTTAGCGTCAGCACAAAAGAACCGATACTGTTAGAGCATATCAATACTATGGTCTTTGATAATTTAGCCCCGGTGCTAATTTAGTACTGGGTGTCGGTACCCGTCCTTAATCAAAACACAAACGAAGTGAAGCCCATAGGAATGAAATAAAGTTTGCAGACACACTGACACGGAACTGCGGAAGGCTGTGTGTGCATTCCACCGATCAGCGTTCTTCGGCACACCGCCCCGCCCCTCAAGAATTCTGGGTAATCTGAAAAGTCCTACCCCCTTACTAGGTACTTTTTCCAGGGTAAGTTTTTTCCCTGGGTAATTTCGGTGGAAATGCACAGAGGTTTTTCAAAACCCCGGGTAAATGAGAAAAGTTCCTGCAGTGGAAAAGGGGCTATTGATAAGTCAGACACAGCATGAAAAGGAGGAGCTGGGGTGGAGGCAGGTTGCAAAGTGGCTTGCAGAGGAAGCAGCAACAGTAGGCAGGACAGAGCAGTTTAAATAGGGCGCCCGGAATGAGATTTGACAATTGGTTGCATAGAAAGGAATCATGTGATCTTAAATTGTGGATGAGTTTAGCTTCTCTTTGAGAACTTTTGCAAAATTTTCCAGAGAAAAATTAAAAACTAAGAGTGAGTTCATATTTGAACCCAAACTTCAGTTAATGAAGGGATTAAATAGGAACTTTATTTCTCATCGGATTAAATATGGAGTCTTTTTACTCAGTAATGTAAAAAAAAAAAAAAATCTGCTTACTAAGTTTTTATTTCATAGCCTTATTTCTTACTAAATTTGATCTCTCCACAGTTACTTTTCATCTTAGCTTGTCCTGCATTTTATTTTATTTTTTTATTTATTGGTCATTTATTAACTCTCCTCTGTGTTGTACATCATTGTCATAATCAAAGTAAGTGTGCATCTTAGATCCATATATTTGTCTCGAGGCTCTACAATCTGGATAGCTCACATGCCTCGGTGAAAGAAAAACTGGGGTTAAAACAAAGTTCGGCTAAGTTCAGGTGCAGGTTAAAGACATAATCCAGGTAGAGCGTAAATATCGCTCAGCGGCTGGTCGTAAAGCTGAGGCAGTCAGTATTTATGTGTAAATCCCGTCGTTTTACAACCTTTAAATCACAAAGTTTGAGTGTGCAGCCGAGCAGTGCGTCCATCCCTGCTGACTGAAAAGCTGTAGATTCTCCTTGTTTGTCCAAATTAAATTCTGCTGTCAGGTTGGTCACTTCTGGGAAATGTGATCCACAGCAAACCTCCTCTGCAGCTCCAACACACAGTGAGGCAGCTGCTTTTATGTATCAGTCACTTTCTGTTGTTCCACTGGAGGAGAAGGCAGGAGAATGATCAAGCACAGAATTCCCCCTGTTTCATGTATCTGCACTTTAAATTAAACACCAGTATAGAAAAAATTACTGAAGGTGCAAAGTCTTGTTATTATCGGTTACATAATTTGATGGTTGAATTTTCATGTGCCGCTGATTACGAGGCCCAAAGAGTTGAAAAGGTGGAGTGTAAGTTACAAATTTAACAATTCACAATATATATGACTCTATCAGATTTTAATGTTTGAAAATAAACATAATTTTGATTTTACTACAGCAGCTTCAGGCTCTTTTCTAAAAATGTTCATTTGAAAGCAGATAGCAGAGTCAAGTAGTCTGCATAATGCAGGACTTTAATGTCTGATTTGTACAGAGTGAGACTAGAGCTGCAATGATAAGTTGATTAGTCATTCGACACACAATCAATCTGCAATTACACTCACCGGCCACTTTATTAGGTTCAACTGCTCGCAAACGTTAATAGCTAATCAGCCAATCACATGGCAGCAGCTCAATGCATTTAGTCATGTAGACATGGTGAAGACGAGCTGCTGAAGTTCAAACGGAGCATCAGAATGATGAAGAAAGGTGATTGAAGTGACTTTGAACGTGGCATGGTTGTTGGTGCCAGACGGGCTGCTCTGAGTATTTACTGGGATTTTCAGCACAACCATCTCTAGGGTTTATAGAGGATGGTCCCAAAAAGAGAAAATATCCAGTGAGCCAAAATGCCTTGTTGATGCCAGAGGTCAGAGGAGAATGGCCAGACTGCTTCAAGATGATAGAAAGGGTGGTTTTTCCAATCTTCTATTGTCCAGTTTTGGTGAGAAAACCCATGTGAATTGTAGCCTCAGTTTCCTGTTGTTAGCTGACAGGAGTGGCACCTGGTGTGGTCTTCTGCTGCTGTAGCCCATCTGCTTCAAGGTTGGACAAGGTGTTGTTGCTTCAGAGATGCTCTTCTGCACACCTTGGTTGGAACCAGTGCTTATTTGACTTCCTGTTGCCATTCAGATGGAAGCATGGATCCATCCTGCCTTGTATCAACGCTTCAGGCTGCTGCTGGTGGTGTAATGGTGTGGGGGAGATTTTCTTAGTACCAACTGAGCATGGTTTAAACACCACAGCCTACCTGAGTATTGTTGCTGAGCGTGTCCATCCCTTTATGACCACAGTGTACCCATCTTCTGATGGCTACTTCCAGCAGGATAACGCACCATGTCACAAAGCTCACATCATCTCAAACATGACAATGAGTTCACTGTACTCCAATGGCCTCCACAGTCACCAGATCTCAGTCCAATAGAGCACCTTTGGGATGTGCTGGAACGGGAGATTCTCATCATGGATGTGCAGCCGACAAATCTGCAGCAACTGTGTGATGTCATCATGTCAATATGGACCAACATCTCTGAGGAATGAGAAACAGCTTCTCAAATCCAAAGATTTGATGCATTTCTTTGTCAAATGTGATTGTAAACCAACAGGCTAATTCACTGCATGACTTCAATGCACAGGACTTATGGGTAATGGAGTCCTCTAAAGATGTCTGAGTTGTTTTGTGTAGCTGTAGGAAAAAAACATGCTTTTGCTGTATGTGTTTAGAGGCTGCGGTGCGAGGCCGGATCTCGTCTTGTCCAGTTGGACAGTCTGACCCAGAAGAATCGGACACTGACTCGGCTGTTTCAAGGCGCCATGCAGGCGCGGCTGCTGGCGATGGCAAGGGAGTGTGGGCAACGATGGGACAATGTGAACGCCAAACTGGAATCCATCACCAGACAACTCAAGGTCAGAGTCCCACCCAATAAAATACCCAAATAAGTAGTGTACTTCCAATAATATCTTGTATTTTGTTAAAGCATAGAAAGCGATTTTAGTTAATTAATGCTGCGGTTGAATTTTCATGTTGCTGATTCTGACATCTAGAGTTTTGGGTGAGATGAGAACCAAAAGGTAAATTTTGGTTCTACTGCAGCAGCAACTCCACACTTTACCTAAGTAAATGTTAAATCAGGTGTATTCACATGCTCACACTTATTGTTGGCAGAAAAGATCTTTGGTGCCAAAAATGTAAAGTCCAAAAAACATTTTCTAAAGTTAGATTGCATGTTTACCAGGTAGTGCAGTGTACCTGTGATCTGTTTAATCATTTAGGAGAAATTGAATTTAGCTTCAGGCAGAAATGTGGAAAAAATGACATTAAAACACTAAAAAATCCTTTATTGAAGCATTTGTGAACCATCAGAGCAAAGAAAGAGAGATTTGTGTGTATCTCTATTTCTTCTCTGTCAGCTCTTTGTCTCGGAGTGGGAGGGGTTTGAGGCAGAGAGGGAGGAGCTCACTCTCTGGTTGGCTGACCTGGACGTCCGTCTGACCGATGTCGATCACCTGACAGGAAACACCTGCGAAAAGCTGAGACAACTGCAGGTTTGTGTGTTTGTGTTATATAACTAAATGCATGTGTTTTCCTACCTTATGTATATGTTTTGGTTTTTTTATGTGTGTGTGTGTGTGTGCAGTCCTTCCAGCAGTGTGTGTGTGTGAACTCCGGCCGTGTGAACGTCCTGCTGCAGCGTGGGGAGGCCTTGATCCAGCGCAGCCAGCCAACTGATGCTCAGCATGTGGAGAGTCGGCTGCTGGAGCTGCTGCGGCGCTGCAGCCTCGTCTACAACAACATCGCCCGAACACACACGCGGCTGCTGAGCATGAGACTGGTACACACACACAGACACACACTCATTGTGACAGCTGAAATGAATGGCAGTGAACTCACACAGATGTAAATATACATGAAGGTGGAGTGAAGCTCACACAGACATCTACTTGGACTCAAGAATGAACTGATTAGAATTTGGTGGTCAAAGGTCACTGTGACTTCACAAAACATGCTTTCGGCCTCAATTCAGAAATTCATCCACTAATTATGACAAAATTTCTCATAAATGTCTAACAGGAAAAAAATAATTAAGTGACGGCATTTTATATCCAAAAGGTCAAAGGTCACCTTCACTGTGACATCATAATGTTCTGCATAAAATACTTTTATGGCCACTAATCAGCGTCATATCTCAGGAACAGAAGGGGAGACATTTGGACAGATACTGAATTGGTGACTCTAATCTTGAACCTGTGCTGATTGTATAGATCTTCTGTGTGTGAAGCATCCATGTTTTCACTGACATGGGTGGAGACTGTAACATGCTAACATGTAGCATACACAACCACAAGGTGGTAATTCTAATGTTCATTTCTTTTTCTCTTCCTCCCCCTCTTCCTCCTGTTCCTCCTCCAGGTGTTTGAGGATGACTGGATTCTATCTCAGGCTACAGACTCTGGTTGTCCTTCAGAGACTGTATTAGAGGAAGAGGGAGTGCTTGATAAAACCAACCTGGACCTCCCTGCTTTATCAAACCATCCAAAAGGTTAACTGAAACACTAAACATTTAATTACAGGTATTAATGACTCACTAAAGGACAACTGCTGACATTCAGTAATAAATCAAACTGTTTGTGTCTTTTCTCTAGATTCCAGCCAATCGGCTAACCACACCCCGGCCTTCTCCTCTCCCATTCACCTCCCTCCTCAGTCCTCACCTACCCACGAGCACCTGGGGCTGGAGTGGGACCCCTCGGTTGATGTTGGTCGCTCTGTTTCCTGTGACGATGCCGACTCGTCGTATTTCAGTGTCAGCACAGGTAGGAATATTTTCAAGTGTCTGTCATATAAAACTTTCCTCACAGGAACATTTGAGTCTTTTTTTTCACTGTTATTTCTCAGTAGCTACAGATCCAACACCTCGTTTACCAGACCACCATGAAGGGCCGCAGGCAACTGTAGGGTGTTTTTTAAACGTATGTCAGGATAAGACTGAAAGACTGCTGAACGTTCCGGGCTTTAGGTTTTGGTGTTGGCTATAATGAATATAAGTTGCCCTCAATGAAACATACTCTTATGGATGAGTGCTCTGTGTGTGTTTCAAGGTCTGTGTCACAGAGATGGTGTGAAGAGGCGGAGCTACCTCAGCTCCCTCGGCTCTCTGTCTGACATCAGCAATGACATCAACAACCAGGAAACAGATCTGGTGAGTTAAACAAGAACAGCCCCCTTGAGTTTTCTGATAAAAATAAATTCATTATGGTTCAGAGGAAAAAGATTGACGTCATCAATTAAAAAATATCAGACAACAGACATTTCAAGTTCTTTATTGTTGTGTGCACAGTTACAGTGACGCAGTCATTGGCTCCCTCCAACAGTGCTCATAAATATACTAAATATAATAATGCAATATAAAAACACACAAACCTGTGGCATCACCCAGTGCACTATTGAGTACTGTTGTCCTACGTTATGATGCGTTATTTGTAAAACAGTTCCCTCAGTATGGCGCACCTGGTGCATGTCTTACACTAGTCACAGGTGATCAAACATAGTGTCACCATTCTAATGCCAAAATGTAACTACTTTGTAGAAATCCCACACAAACAACACTTAACATTTAGCACAACTATTCAAACATATAATGTGTGAGTTTCACTGACCCACCACTGTTATTTTTTATGTTATGACTGTGGGTGTCGGAGTGGGTTTGGCCACGCAACCATACACGCAACAAGGAAGTCTGGGCCACTGCTGATTTTGTCAGATGCCAGGGGTCCGTCCCAAGTCTCTCATTTTTATAGTGCTACTGCTAGCTCCTCGCTTGAACCGAAAGTCGTTTGAGGTCTGCCATCTTCTAGGCCGTCCCAAGTCTCTTATTTGTGCAGCAAGGAGCTAGCGCTAGGAGCTAGCAGCAAGCTTTAAGCAGCTACGAGCTAGGATGGTCGAGAGCTTCCTATCCAGAAGAGTTTTTCAGCTGAATGCCATGACGTATAAATACCCGCCCTCTACATCTGGCACATTTGAACGAGATGGTGGAGAAACAGTACAGGAGTAAGTACCAGTTACATGCATTCTTTGCAATGAGTCACTGTAATTCACGTACCTACTTCAAAGAGTAATGATATTTCATGCAAGATTGTTATGTTGCAATTAGGTTTATTTCAGTCACAACCCATTGCGTTGTTCATTGGACTGTCGGTGATGTGCGGCTGCTACATGCAAAAGTGTGTGACCAGAGTCATGATGGCGGGGGGTGGTGGGGCTACTGTTTTGGTCAGCGAATATAATGAGACTTGGGATGTACCCATAGTACCGCCAGACGCTGGCTGCTTCCTTACGGAGCAGATCCAGTGGTGCCGCCGTCATCAGGAATGGATGTCGCTTCACGTGACGCTTCAGTGGAAAGGACGTCTCATGTCTCTTAAACCGACAATGCTCGCTCATCACTCCTAGCGCTAGCTCCTCACATTTTTTCCTAGGTGGGAGGGGCTAAACAGCTAGCAAAGTCGGCTAGGTAAGATAACTAGCAGTAATTTAAGAGACTTGGGACAGACCCCAGGATGTCACTATCTATGATATAGCCTGATGCTCGCTGATTGGCTGGGAGAAATCACACCTCACAGAGAGGCATGGGGAGGCCATTTTGAATTTTGTCCACTGAAGTTAGCTATGTTCTTTTGCCTGATGAAGGGGGACTCTGGTCTTTTTCAACCTGGAGCCTGTTGCAATATGGAGAGTTTTCCAGCCTGTTAATGTACGTCCAAAAAAATTTTTTTTGGTCAAAATTTCACGAGAGGTGACGTGTTGCAGAAAGAAATTGTTTGGAGTAGAGAAAGTGTATTTTACTCTAATCAAAAATATTTTCATTGTCACGGCTGAATGTTTAGCTGATTTCAGTGATGTGAAAAAGTCTGCAAGGTATCAGAACGAGACTTCTCCTTTTGCAAAACTTGGTGCGGAACAAGTGAAAGGTACAAAAAATGTTTCATTTCACTGCAGGGATTCTTTCCATAATGTTGTTGTAGTAGCGTAGTATGGGTGAGCTCCGACAAGGCTCTGACAGCACGATTGTGCTCCATAGACTCTCATGCAATCGCTTCTGATTCTCCTCTATTCAGGCTGGTTTTGTGGATGTGGAGCTAAATGCTGAGCCTAGAGATCATTGTGAATAAATGATACTCGTTACCTGGAGAGGTTGGAAGGAGATATGTCTGTCTTCCCTGTTTAGGGTTAGCTAGCTAGCTAATGAAGGTATAGCCTCCTGAATGCTGCTTTTGCTTTTTGATAATTATAACAGTGAAACAAAGACCGACCCTGCTGTACAGGAACCAGTGAAGGGAAGCAGGGAAACTTTGCTCATATTCAACCAGCTGTGTGTCATCGCATTGTGCGCAGATGACTGTTGTTTGGCTTCCCCTGGAGATCCTCACCCATCCACCAGCAGAGGTCCGGCGGCTGGCGGCACGGGGGAAAGCCAAACAACGTTAATCTGTGATGACACACAGCTGGTTCAGTATCAGCAAAGTTTCCCTTTATATTCATTGTCTTGTGTGGCGATCAGCAGTGATGTGGTGGTTCACTTTTACACTGTGATCTGTAGCCTATAGTTCGGCTCTAGCTTCTAACTATCTTTGTCTTTTTAACCTGTTGTTGCTGCTGAGTCAGTTTGCCATCCTGGATATATCCTTCAAACACAGACTGTAGACCCCTCTGTCTGCTCCCAAAAATATGATAACATTAGCCAAGTGTCGTTGTCAGTGTACAGTTGCCTGCAGGAATTACTTATAGCCTGTTTGGCTATTGTGACTGCAGCTGTCTCCCTCAATACTTACCTAATTAGAATTTTTTGTCTCCATTAGCCTCTAGACACAAAAACAAAAAGGGCACCTCTGTGGCGTCATATTCAAACTGTCAATTTAACGAGCCCAAACCAGCTAACATGGAGAAACAGTTTGACAATTTATGTATCGTTTTCCAAGTATTCATAATGATTTTGACGCTAACTTTTGCTCCAAACTGCCATTTCCTTCTAATGTCACTTGGCAACACAAAAGCGAGAGGTGCTGAAATGATTCATTTTAATGTATTTATTTATTTGAAACATTCAAACTGATGTGTTGTTGGAGGACGACTACAGAGGAGCAACATCAGGCCGAAATAAGAACAAAACCATGTGGTGTTTACCTCTAACTTCATTGTACACTCTCTGTTGCTCTGCTCTGACCCAGATGCTACATGGCCCAGAGGCTTCGTCTGTCTGTCTGTCTGTCTGTCTGTCCCACACACACACAGACACACACGTACACAGTCATTGATGTTTCGATACACCAGCTATCTAAAAATGTTCTCCGTGGCTGCGTGCCGGCTTTATGAGCTGGTTACAACAGTTCACCTCCTCTACTGCTGATTTATTGATGACGCCTGCAGGATGTGGCACCTCTATATGTTGTTGTCAGTTTCCTCTTTTAGCTTTATTTTGGCGAGACAGGAGTGTGTCAGCAGCTGCACAAGAGAGAGAGAGGCAGACACAGAAATAAAGAGATAAAAAATGGAGAAGGAAAAAAAAGACATGCGTCCATGAACTGTGGGGAAACAGAGGCGCGAAGCGAAATATTGAAGTGATTTGAGTATCCTCCTCTGCTCGCCTGCAGCTCCCCCCTCTCTCTGCCTCTCTGTCTGTTTCACACCCACACACTGTTGCCCTGTCGGTGAACCCCAAAGCCCAACAGGAAAAGAGACGAACAGAGAGACGCACGTAAAACTGAATTAGCATCTGATCACAGCTGCAGCATCCCAACAAAGACATCAAAGTGTGTGTACACTCTGAAAGAAAAAGAAAAAATACAATCTTATGTATTTGCTGGATGTGTAGAGACGTGATGTCAGCACGCCCTGCCTGCAGGCTCAGCTTGGCGCTGTCTGCCCAGAGGACTCTTCATGTTTGTACTTTATTAATCTGCGACCGTGTGACCTCGTCTGCTTGTATGCCGCAAGAATTCTGAATGCAAGTCAAAAGATGGAGATTACACCTCTGATCAATTTCAGGCGTCACCAATTTAACTTAAATTCACACTTCTTTGACAATATGGTGCAGAACCCACTGTCCTGTGGTACAACTCTTCGTCATGGTAGTTTTGCATGTTTTAGCTAATTTCCTACACATCATTTTTTACATCATTTTTAGATCATTATTTATATAGCCCACTATCAAAAATCACAGTTTGCCTCATGGGGCTTTACAATCTGTGCAACAGACGACACCCTTTGTCCTCAAACCCTCACAGCAGATGAGGAGAACCTCCCCCCAAAACAACTTCAACAGGGACAAAAAATGGAAGAAACCACAGGCAGAGAAACCGTCTGTCCCAGGACAGACAGACAGGAAATGGATGTCTTGTGGACAGATTAGACCAACGTAATAAAATCACAGTATAGACATTCCACTCATCTGCTAAAGAGAATTATATTAACAAACTCTGAAAATTATTATAATTGTAATGAGGAAGTTTGTAAATGTGGTTACTTTTTTAAGCTTTGCAAAAAGGAGTGTAACTGAAGTGCCACACAATAATGTTGGCACTTTGATAGGACAAAAAGGGCACTGAACATTACGCCTCTGTGCCGGCGATAGCGGTGGCTGGAGGCATTATGTTTTTGGGTTGTCCGTCCGCCTGTACATCTCATTCTTGTGAACGGGATATCTCAAGGGAATTCCTTTAAATTTGGCACAAAGGTCAGCTTCACTGTGACATCATAATGTTCTGCATAAAACACTTTTCTGGCCATTAGTTAACGTCATATCTCAGAAACAGAAGAGGAACTATATGGTCAGATATTGAAGTGGTGACTCCAATCTTAGGTGTTAATCTTGAAACTGTGCTGATTGTACAGATCTTCTGTCCTGTCAGAGGGACAATGGGTGTGAAGCACCCATGTTTTCACAAACATAGATGTAAACTATAAGAGAAACTTGACTGGTGCATGGAGGCATGCAACCATAGGGTGATAAATCTAGTTTAAATTGCACTACAGTGAAACGAAGCTGTGGTTGCTTGAAAATTAGGAAATCATTTAAAAGCCTGGATGGTATGATCTGGTGAAAAGTCAGCAGTTAGGAACCTTCCAAACCCTTGAACAAGCCCTTTTAAAAGAGTATTAGGTCTCTATGTCTGAGTTCACACTAGTAAGTTTCCACATTATGACACATAACAAAATAAACCAAAACAAGAAACTGTTACAGGCTGGATCATCTGAATGGCATAAAATGACTTTTTTCCAAACCTAAGTCTTCTGTGTATATTATCTGTTTTCTGTGCAGCGATTGGAGGGATGGCTTGACCACGCCCAGCCCAGTGTCTTCCCTCCAGTCGCAACCCAGAGGGGCGGGACTCAGACAAACAGAGACCAGTGGGCGACCTCAACTCCTGACAGACAGGACGGTGAACCAGTCAGCTTTGACGGTGGGCGCGTGAGGGCGTGGCTGGGAGTCCAGAGTCCCGGCCCTCCAGAAAGGAGGACTTCCTGTTCCAGAGCTGTGCAGACGGACGGGCAGGTGGAGGTGGGTGACCTTCATTCACACTACTGAAACTTGACGAGCAATTACTCTTGACCAAAATACATTCTTTCTGACAATTCTTTGTTCTACTGCCAACATTTTGCAAAATGAAAGAATTAACTTGGCAGCTGTAAGTTCATATTTCACCTCTATTTCAAGGATAAATTTGATGATATTCCATATAGTTTTTTAAATTGTCAAGACGTTCTATGAAAAGACTCAAACTAACACCGAATGTATCTACGAACAAGTATTGCAATAAATCTTTTTCCTCCACTGTTGTTAAAAACACATCAGTGAGTCACACTGTTGTTCCTTCATCACCATGAAAACACACTCTGTAGTTATTCTGACTGAATCCCACATATACTGTTGCGCTGCCACAAATACTCACAAGAGCACCAAATGTGGATTAATGCACCGCTGAAAATAGTCCCCAACAGACAGGGAGTCAAAGAGTATCAGAATATCAGAACATCATAACACATTATTGGTTTTGTGCTTTTCGTGAGATTTGTTGACAATAACAACAATATAAACCTTATTGTTTTGTCTTATTTTTATGCCTCTGCTCTGCTGATAGCTGTGGCCAGAGGCTGGTTTTGGGTTGTTTTTTTGTCTGTACGTCTCATTCTCTAAACGGGATTTCTCAAGAGGAAGTTGGTTCAGACTTCAACTAGTATTCAGTGATGAACTGATTAGACTTTGTGGTCAAACGTCAAAGGTCAGCGTGACCTCACAAAACATGTTTTTAGCCAAAACTCAAAACTTCATCCACTAATTAAAATTTCGCACAAATGTCTAATCGAAGGAAAATTATGAAATGATGACATTTTGTATCCAAATGTTCAACGATCAACTTTATTGTGGCATCAAAATGTTTTCTGGCCAAGGAATGCCTTGAGGGAATTTCTTCAAATTTGGCACAAATGTCCACTCGGACTCAGCAATGAACTGATTAGATTTTGGTCGTTAGAGGTCACTGTGACCTCACAAAATATGTTTTTGGCCAAGATAAAATGATGAGTGGATGACTTTTCTTATCCAAAAGGTCAAAGCTTAACTTCACTTTGACATCATCACATTTTTTCTGGCTATTACTCGACATCATATCACAGGAACAGAAGGGGAGACATTTGGTCAGATGCTGAATTGGTGACTCCAATCTTCGGTGTCCACCTTGAAACTGTGCTGACTGTATAGATCTTCTATAGATCATGTTTTAAATTTGCAGCTTTTTGCAGCAACATGTGAAGCATTGTCAGCCGTCATCGCTACATATGAGTCTGGACAGACATGAATGTAAACTGTAACTGCAGCTTAACTGGTTCGCGGAAGCATGCGACCACACGGTGATAATTCTAGTTTGCTGAGCTTGTTTTCTGTGGAGTTCAGCATTAACATTCAGCGCATGGCATCACATGAACATCGTCTGTGCGTGTAAAAACTCCTGACCTGACTCTCGAGACATTCACCAATTTGCTCTCTCTTTTTCTCAAACACACACACACAAATGGCTGCCCTTGTGGGGACCAACCTTGTTATGGAAGGTGACAAAATAACTGAATGAGGACAATGCAGGAGGATACCTAGTGTGTAAGTAGTAGATGTGAAAGTCCACTGACAAAGCTGCGATATGTGATGACTTAGGATGAGAACGTGTTCAGAGGTTTGGTTAGGGAGTGTCTGAAGTATACAGGCCTTTTAAGTCTTGTTAAAGTTGTGGGGTCTAACGTGATGAAACTTCACTCTCAGGTTAAGATGAAGAACTTATTGTCACAGTTTGTCACAAGTAAGAGTGAGCAACTTTAATAATTATGAGCAAGAACAGTGCTGTTGATGATTTAAAGTTGTCCAACAACTCTTCTCTCAGTCTCAAAAATCACAACAAATGTGTGCCTGCGTACTCCATAGACTGTAAAAAATAATGGGCATAGCTACTGTGAGGTTGCCCATTGGTTTATGGACCAATTATTGGAACCAATTAAATGAACCAATATTTATTCTCCACTGCCAACTTGGCTTTTTGGAGTCAGAGGGGATCATATTTGGATGAGAGGCTAGAGCTGTGAAGAAGTGAGGAGTGAATCTGACTCAATGACTGCAGCAAGTTGCACGCAGCCTGTCAATCAAGCAGCCCTGCACTTAAATATGCGTAACTTTGGGCCTTAATAAAATATAAATGGGTGAGTTATAGAAATTCACCTCCTGCACAGTTGTCATGAATGTTGAAATTAGCTCAGAGTCCAAAACTGTTTTTTGTACCAGGCTGTAAACATGTTTATTACTGCTGTAGAGTTGAGTATTTTATCACAGAGCTCTATGGGGACTTAGGCCCAATCCCAATACCCCCCTTGTCCACTACCCCATAGCCCTTGGCCCTACCCCTTGGCCCTCAAAATGAAGCAACATGGGGTAGGGGTTGAAATCTTTCCCTAGAAATTGGGACACCACTCACTACGTCACTGCGTCAGTTACGTTCACGCATACATAACTATTTTAAACAGGAAGCTGCGAGCCATCTACATTTCCAACCGGCATCTACAATGGAGTCTCCGGTTGAGTTCATCCTACCGATCTCGTTTGCCGCATTCATCATGCTTCGTTTGATGAACGACAGACGACAGGGGACTTCAGCTCGCTAGCTATCCAGCTAACATTACGAGGCAGCATAGTTATACTAGCTGGCGTGTTATCGTAATGTGAAAAGTCCGACAATTTTGCAGAACAGGACAGATGACAGACGCCAGATAGCGCGAGCTAGCTAGCTAGCTAACAAGCAACCTCACGACGGTAACATTAGCAATGTATGAACTTTTTTCCCCGTCTCTTGCTCAGTGGTAGCCATGGCGATGTCTGCCCCTTGCTGGCAAGTCAGCATCTGAAATCTCTCGCTCCGAAGGGCTAGTTTCATACCCACTACCCCTCATTATCCCCCCTACCCCTACATGCAAAAAGGAATTGGGACACCACTACCCCTTGCGGGAACGCGCAAATCTAGGGGTAGGGCTAAGGGGGGGTATTGGGACGGGCCCTTACGGTTTTGTAGCCAGCCTCAAGTGGCCATTAGAGGAACTGCAGTTTTTGGCACTTGCACACTGGCCTCATTTCTCAGCCTCAGAGGTTGCCACTTGGCATACTTGCAAATGTTGATGCAGACTAACCAGCACACAGACTTGTTTAGTGCTCACTCAGTTCTTTTCTCCTTAATTTACTTCTGTACTTTTTGACCCCAAAATGTGGGTTGAGAAACGGATTCCCCACGAAGTCATTAATACACATACAGTAGGTTGTCTTACTTACACACAGTATGTCATTGTTATCTCTCTCACTTTGCTCAGCATTGTAAAGAGTTCCAGCAAACACACACACTGAGTGATGTGCCCTCTCACCAGAAGCTCCATCAACATTCATACTCATCACCCTTTATTTTTCCACCTTTTGCAAAGACAGATTCCTCAATATCTGTCCTCTAACCCTCCTCTCTGTTTCCCCTTTCCGACTTCACTTTCCTCTCTCCATCTGACTTCATTGGCCTTCTCTCCCTCTCTCATTACTGGTGAAAGCGCCTATTTATTCTCCTCTTCCTCCGTCTCGTCCGCCGCTCCTCAGGCCGCCGAAATGAATCCATAAAGTCTTGATTTATGCATCGAGTCTGGCTGCACTTTAACTGTCGCCATAAAAACAGGAGAGAAACACACAGACTTCCTCCTTTCCTTCCTTCCTTTTTACTTCCACTTTCCTTCATCTCTGTTTTTCCTCTGTGTGACTTACAACCCGTTACAGATTACTGTCTGTGTACGGGAGAGAGAGGTAAAGTTGGTAGATGAGTTTTTAAGGGTCAGATCTGATGACAAAGTGTGTGCGTTATTGTAATTAGAGCGCTTTTGAGCACACTCATTTGCAATATGGGAGTTTGATTGAACGCATGTTTGTGCGTAATAGCATTGGCACTTTCTAATGGAGGTTCATTACTGACAAAACTATCGAGCAAGCACAAAACAAATTGGAGCAGAAATCAACCTGCGAGTCCAGATTTGAGAGCAGCGAAGGAGAGAATCAGGAGTTTAATCGATGTTTGGGACAGCTTGTGTACAAATTCAGACTGAGAGCTGAACAAACTGTTGAATTGTAATTTGAGGCATCATCCTGACCCTCCCTCCCCGTGTGCTCCATCATCTCGGGGGTGAAGTTTTGCCACTTTGACAGAACTTAGCATAGCTGGACTAAGTGTGATGTCTGGAAAACATCCTCTTAACTGTGTTATGAATATGAATTCAATATGCCTCTCTGCAGAGCAGTGAGTTGACAATGTCACCACCTCTAGGACAGGGTGACATTTTTTCTTCCCCCAGAACTTTATTGATGCTGCAGGGCCATGGTTAACCTGTGCACAGTGCTGGGCAATAGCATAGTCCCTGTTTTGTGTGCAGATTGTAGTTTTGTATTCTGATATACGAATCTTTAAAGCTCTTTTGGTTTGTCTGACATAAACCAGACTACAAGGCTGTTTCAGTATGTAGACAGCATGTGTGCTGCTGCAGTTTATTAAGGATTTTATGGAGTAAGTTGTCCCAGTATGTGTAAAGCACTTGGTGTCTGAAGAGCAAGAACATTATGCACAGTGGCCATAGTGAAAAAAAAATCCTATAGAAAAACTACAATCGATATTTTATCGATACAGCATTTCCACACAAAATATTGCACACCCAACCATCTGCGTCCTCATTTCAACAACACACAACAGTCTTTTCCTGCCCCCTCCTCTTCACCCTCACATGACCTAAAAGCTTCGCCTGATTGGACAGGGCACCGATATCGATCAGATCTTCAGGTGAGTAGGCAGCATCGGTTGGTTATCTTAATTTTGGATGATAAACCAGATAAATTATCATAGAAATGTTGTTGGTGTTTTTGGTCGCAGCTTTCCCTGAAAGAGGCTTGTTGTCATGGCACATAATATACAGTGTCGAGACTGCCAGAGGATTTCATCCATTCACAGTAATTAAAGTGTCAAAAATTAATGTAGTATTGATTTATTGATGGAAAATAATACGCAGAGAACCTTTTAAATAAGTAGTAGTAATAAGACATAGTGTCAGTCATGCCCTCTGGGGAGGAATAAACTCTGTGTGTGTGCAGATATTTCTGAGCTGATATATTCCTGAAAAGTTTTCCTGTGAAAGTAAGAAATGTTGCCTGAAACCACAGCGGATCAACAGAAGCTCTCTCTGTTCCCCAGGCTGAAGAAGAGCAGTCCTGTTGTGAGGAAGCTGAGCGTCTTCTCTCCGAACAAAGGTGAGAAAAGAGTTGTGTGCAGATGGAGCGATAAAAGACGCAGGCTGACTGTAATATGCAGGATTTTTCTAAAACCACGGAGATAGGCAGAACAGTGTCCTTTGTGTTGATGAAGAGAAAAACAGAAGGTCAAGTTTTTCATCACATCATTAACAAGAATACTGCTCAGTGTTTGCACACAGTTTGTGGTGTTGCATGCCATTTTGTGCCCCACCTGTGTCTGTGGAACATGCATGTACATTATTAGGGACCTCGGCCGAAGTCAGAGGACCCTTTTGTTTCTGGTACTTTTATTCTTTATTCTTTCTCCCACCGCCTCTTTGAGCTGGAATTAGACCCCCTAAACATGCTCAAAAACTCACCAAAATTGGTACGCATGTCAGGACTGGCGAATAATTTGATAAAATGAAAAAAATTAACCCCCAAACTGCCAAAATGGGCTCTCTAGTGCCACCTAGATCTACTAAAATGGCTCCTGCAGCCCGTAGAAATGTCGTAGAAAGATCAAACCAAAACTGGCTTGTTTGTCTCATCGAGACCTACAAATCATGCGCTGACACCCCTGACCTAAATCCAACAGGAAGTGAGCTAGTGCCTCTGAAATTAACATGAGCAAATGTGGAAAAATTGTCAGCTGTGAGCTAGACATGTTAAACTTGCGACCAAGATCGCATTTTTGAGTCCACAAACATAAAACCTATATGTCTGTGTTCGGGACGAGTGTATCTCTCTGCTGATATGCTCAGATTAAGGATTGGACCCACGGTTTGGAAATAAAAGGGAGGAGTTCGACACATTTTAAAGCCATCTCCATCTGCCTGGTCTCTCACAGCTTGTCTCTCCCTCTGCTGCATGTAAGTCAGTGTGTGCGTGTCTCACAATCTTTATAGGACAGATTGCAGCAGCAGAATCTTCATTTGAAACAGCATCTACACATTATATACCAGTGTTTTCCATCTCCCACATACTACTACAGCCTTTATTACTTATAATACTGTTGCCACTTTTGTGATTATGACCGTTAAATAAATTTTGTAATGCACTGTAATATAAAGTCCCTCAAACATGACCTTGCGTACCCTTGACATTGCTTGTTTTCTCGACATTTCGACTCTTACGAATATTTCGCACTGTCTGCGTGAGCTGGAGGCCAAAACGGCGTGAGGCCGAGGTCCCGCCCAACACTGCTTGCAGCTTTAATTTAGCTTTTGAGGTATGATCATTTTTATGAGCGGAGTGCAAAAGCTTTGTGATAGATACATCATTTATTCCTGTGGCACCACTGCGCATTTCTGCACCACATGTAATGCAATGCAGTGACATCATTCTGAGCGAACAACATGATCACTTGAAAGACAGAAGCCTTAGCTTTCTGCTGCAAAATGAATGAGCTGCTGTTCTAGCTGTTATGGTTTTTATTATAGAGGGATATATACTAGATAATGCAAACAACGATCTCCCGCAGCCATTACGGGGAAATGCCGGTGTTCATTACTGCAAAATATCCCATTTGCATGGCACATAATTTAACATGTCAATGACTGCTTGATAAATTATAGTTTCATTAAAAAACCACTAAGGTTTATCAACACGTAAGTTTAGCATCTAACTTGTTCCTTCTAGTTAAGCTCCACCTGTTGCCCAAAAGTAGATCTTCTAGCTCCACAGCTGAGCATTCAAACCAGACAGTAACACCTCCACCTCTCCTCCACAGTATGACCTCCAGCAGCAGGGCCTCGTCCTCCCTGCTCTGCCCAGCCCTCCTCTACCTCCTTCTGGCTGCAGCTCTGGCTCTCCTGGCCTATCTGATCTGGGTCGTCCTGGAGCCGCCGTGTCACCGCAGCAGCAGGATGCATCGTAGTTTCCACCTGGCACTGAGATATGTCAACGGACCCCCGCCTACCTGAGGACCACCCAGAGACAGTTTGACCGAAGCACTTTCCTCAGGCTCGACAGAACAGAGGTTTGCAGCTCACCATGTAATGCTCATTTCAATGAACCCACAAGAGTCAAACATCAAAGATCTGACAGTGATGTGCAGGAATACAGGATGAAGAAGCAACTTAATAAAACCTTGAATCAAGGGCAGCACTGAGTGTCACACATACACGTTTTTCTCCACATTTTCCAACATAATTTCCATTATGATCCAACTATGTTTTCTCTAACTACAAAACTAGCTTCTTCCTGTATTAAACTCGGGCTGCAGCATGGTTTTGGTGCAACCCAAATGTCAGTTAGTTAATAGTCTGAACTTCAACTGTTTCTTCTTTAAGTGATGAGCCACTGAAAGATGAAAATGTTCTCATTATACAACCTCATTTTTGGAATATCACAATAAAGTTGGCTTCATTTTAAAACCAATTAGATGTAAACACATAACCAGTGTCGGATCCAACCCTCTGAGACCTTCATCCTCATCTTCATCCCTCCCTGTATCACTCATCATTGAGGCTGGCGACCTGTCAGAGAATTTGTCAGTGGTGTCTGGGCTTTTTGTAGAGTTCTCAACCCCCTTCTCCTCCTCTGCCTTATCTTCAACCTCCTTGCCCTCCTGCCCCTAGTCCTCAGTCCCCTTGACCCGCTGCCCTTCATCCTCATCACAGTCATTAATAGTCTCTTGCCTCAGTTGCCTCACAGTCTGCAGCCAAGTCACTCAAATCTGACTCTGTGTCAGGGTCATCAGCATGTTGGGGCTCCCCTTCCAGCTCAGTCCTTAGATTGTGGCTTTCTGCTGTCTCAGCATCCTCCACCGGGGCCTTTGTTCTCAGTTACCTCACTTTAAAGTCCTGTTGAAGGTCTGGTACAGTGCAGTAAAATATTTCTGCTGTCGCCACATCATGACACATGGAGGTGTCCACCCTGGTTCTCTCCTTCTGGGTCAGGTGCTTTTTGACCTGACTGCTCACAGTTAATCATGTTAAGTTGATGGTGATGGTGCCCTTGAGGCCAGCATCATGCCAGGCTGTGTTCAGGTGAGCGCTCAATTTGGTGAGATGCTTCCTGTCAGCTGCATGAAAAACGTGCTATGTGTAATGTGTATCACCTTCCTCAGCCAAGTATCCTCCTCCTCATTGAGGGCCACAGTGGTGTGGCCAGATGTTCTTTGGGTCTTGTCATCTCCAACCCACACAAGATTCATCTTCTTCCTGATCTATGTCCAGGACCTCTTCCATTTTCAGTGATGTGAAGACAACTGGCTGGTGTCCAGTTGGTATAGGTGGGAAGCCAGTTATGTACCCCAGCAGCATGGATATAGTTGTGACCATGGCCTTCCTCGTCAGTTTGGAGCAACGTTGGTATCACTTTCTTGGCCTTGGCGAAGAAGGCACTCTGATCTTCCGCACTCACACGGTTCCTAAAGTTCAAGCGTTGAAGTCAAAGATGGTTGTGGATTTGTTGCCCTGAGCTCTTGTAACTTTTCCACAATAGGCACCTGCTTGGCTTTGAACATAAAGTCATCAACTTCATGTTGGGGTGCAGCGCACAAATCCCACAGGTGCTTACCCACCTGAGACCAGCCGGGTTGTCACACATTGGGCAAGTGAGCTTTCCTGCACCATGCCCACCTGCCCAGCAGAGGAGGGGTTCTGGATCTTGTTTCATTGAATGACACTGTGAACATGGACAAACTCGATACAACATTATACAGCCTTTAATGAAGTGAGACAATTCCACTGGTTCTGTGTGCTGTTTACATTTTTTCTTTAACTTTCTAAAAGTGGTCATCACTCAGAATCTATAAAAAGAGACAGGTTGCTGCATCAGTTTAAGAAAAAATACTTTGATATCTATTGGAAACAGCTTTTTTACATTCATTTTATAAACAAAGTTTAAGACTTGAGAAAGACAGTTTATCCTTGTCCTTAAAAACAGTAATCTGACCAAAGAAACAACCAGTTTTACTTACCACTTACTGCCTTCTTCGGGAACTTTTTCAGACTCAATGTTCTGGTGTGTATTTTTTGCATCACACAGCAATTTAACTGGTCTGGACGCAAACTTTTCCAAACCTCCGTTGTTTGAGGACAAGGAATGACTATGCGAGATTGACAGGTTGCAAACCTTTAAAAATATTATTAAATGTTGACAGCTTAAGATGCGATTTTATGCACCAACAAAAGAGAGATTTTAGAAATACTCTCTCGTGCTTTGTGGCAGCTGATGTGGGTGGTGTGTTGAGATTAAATGAGCAGTTTGTATAATATTTTATAACTCCTGAAAGGTAAGGGACAAAATCAAATCATGTTTAGGTTTGAAACATAAGATTTCAGTTTGAGTTTAGTTCTTTCCAATAATTCGCAGTAACCTGTCCATTAAATTAACAGTCTAAACACAATATGCTGCCTTTAGATTTAAAATATATCTTTGTCTCTTACTAGGAGCTGTAGGCTACATGAAAATAATACGGTAGCACATTTCTGCCCGTGTAATGAATAAAGATCCAATAAGTCATTAAAGTTAGAAACCTTTTTAAAATAAGTTAGTATACCAAAATGATAAATTAAAAACCCAAAATAGAAACAAGACTAGCTCATTATTTTGACATAGTAACTCATTATGAAATACCAATTCATCATTTTAAGATACTTACTCATTACTTTTGAGAAAGCTGCATATTTTTAGATACTAAATATTTAAAGAAACTAAGTCATTATTTTGAGATGCTAATTATTCTGAGATAGTATCAGTAAGTAATAAGAAGCTTTCTTAAAATAATGAGTAAGTAACCCAAAATGACAAATTAGTATCTCAAAAAAATTAGTATCTAATGAAAGAGTTAGTATTGCAAAATACTGGGTTGGTATCCTAAAATAATGAGAAGCTTTCTTAAAATAATGAGTTAGTGTCATTATTTCAAGAGAGCTTTTCATTGTTTTGAGTAAGTCGGCTTTATCGACAGTGGGGCTCAGTATCTTAAAAAAATGAACTGATGAGTTTTCTTTTTCTTCATCACACTGGCTTGATGGGCTTCCATATGAAACATGTCTGGCTTCACCCGCTCAGAAATAATATTCCAAAGTCCATGCCTTAAAGAATATATATACCGCCTAAATATAGTAGAACGTATGTAAACTAATGGGAAGTTGTACTATGTAGATTTATCTTTGCATATGAGATTTTTCTGTCAGTAAAATTATTCCTAACTGCCTCATTTTCTAGACCAATGCTACGTTATTGTAGCATCAGCTGATTAAATGTCCACATCAATGTGTTCAAAGTTGTAAATCTACTTTGTTTGTTAGTAATTCCAATGTTGCAGTAGTTGCTTAGAAAAAAACAGAAGAATCATAGATGTCTTTTTTTTCTGTTGAATAAATGCAGTGTATGTTTGAAAGATTGAGGGGGTTAAAAATGAGAAAGAGTCTGACTTGTACAGCTGTTTATTTCCTTTTTTCCTAGATATGAAATCATAATTAATAACGTAGAAACACTGTACTAGCACAGTAGGAAAGTGAGGTCAGCAGTCACAGCCAGAATAATTTTATGACTCATGTTGTGTAAAAAAACAAAACAAAAAACAACAACATGTAATGACGCAGACGCTAATGTTTTGACTTTAGAGGATTTACTTCCTTGTTCACACAGGTTATATCTCTAAACTCTAATCTGTACTTATGTAGCCAAAGCTAATGTAAAGGATGCAGCTCACAGGCTAGCTTTGTGCTGCCCCCATGGATACAGCATTGGCGGTGAGGCCCCGTTCAGTCCTATGAAAGTTGCTCAGTCACTCATGAAGCCAAAATCACTCAATTTCCATGTTATAAAATTATCCGGACAATCACTAATGTTTCAGCAACATTGGGCTCATAGAGCAGACGCACTAGAGACTTACGGCCACTGACCGAGCGGCTAATGTCCAGTTTAGCGCTGTGCTAACTTCAGTGCTGATAAAATTAGTTAATCTTGCAGCTCTTTTAGAATTTTCAAAAGATGCTGGACCGAATGGATTAAATCTTGATAGTGGAGCAAGTCCTTTTGCGGAGGTTGTGACTCTAAAAATATATATAAATGTCTTTTTCCCAATGTAAGTCTATGGGAAAAAGTCTTTTTGGGCCCATTGGCATCACACGACAGACCCTGAAAATTGCAATACCACTGTTTGGCCACTACGAAAATTGACTTCAAAGCCTGGTACACTTCCTGGGGGCCTGCTTTCCTCTTAATAACTCTGTGTAATACTTAATTAAAGTACCATTTATGACAAAATTATGAAGTATTTTGTACTTAATATTGACCACTAACTGCCTTTACACCGTGATAGCACTTGTATTTAAAATTCATTAAGATGTTTTGCAAAAAGGGAAATGTGTTGAGGGTAACATTTGTCAAAGTTTTAAGGACTAAGTCCTTTTTTGTGTGTCTATTTTTATTTATTGTTTTAGTCCATTAACTACAAATCACATATCTGTACATCACTGCTGGCCTTTTTCTAAACAACCAAAAGTGTTAATGATTTTGGTTTTCCTTTTTTTTTTCTCAGGCAGCTTTTGGTTTCAGTTCATTTCTCCAAAGATCATCTCATAGTGACTCATCTTTCTGCAGAGACATTATCACAGCCGAGATCCAGTCTGTATTTATTGTAGTAAAGTTGTGTTGTTGGTGTTTGATGATGCGTTTTAAATGCAGTTAGATTTTAAAAGCCCTTAGTGCTTTTCCAAAGAACAATAAATTCACTGTGACCAAAATAAAACCATACATGATGGATTATTTGCAGCTAGTTTTAGTACAGCAGTAGTGCACAGAGTATATCTGATGATTATTAAAGGGGCTAAAACATGAAAAAGAAACATGGTTTCTGAAAGGGAAGTTTGATGGTTTATCTTTTGTTTGTTTGTGGAGTTCTGACTGATTTTGTACTTTAACTGTCCACTAAGTGTCAATAATGTCACGCTCCAGCAGGAACAAGGTGCTGCCTGCTTTATTATTGTGTGTTTAAAGGGACTGAAGAGTTTTGTGTTCCCAGCATCATGTAACAGCTGTGAGAGACCACCTGTGTGTGACTGCAGCTCAGTCAGTGACTTGTTAAAACCCAAATGTCTCAGGGGAAGGTTCTTAAAACAAGTAGATTTCAGGAGGATCAATAGTTGTTAAAGCTGGCGTCCGTGGGCTGTGTCATGATGATGATGATGATGATGATGATGGTGATGATGATGATAACGTGTTTTGAGCCTTTTGAGGTTGAGAGAATCATTGAAAAGGGAACTTTGTAAACCAACTGCCATCTAAATATTTCACTGTTTTTTAGTTGAAGGTTTGTTTTTTTGGTCATTGTTAAATATTTCAAAAACAGATCCAATCAGATGTTCTTGCTTTTGTACTTGTTTGAAGATGAATAAAATGAACTGTATGAAACATTTAGATTTTCGAGATCATTGTGTCAGTTCTGTTTTGTGTGAACGCACCACAAAAAATCTATTAGTGTTTCTCATATATAGAATTTATTTTAGTGGGAGAGACACTAAAACTGTGTTTATTTCTGCCTCTCAGAAGTCTCAGTGGACATACATTTAACAGTGAGAGATTTTTATGCCTCCAAACTGGTGATAACTGTGGCCAGAGGCCTTCCATTTTTGGGTTGTCTGTCCGTCTGTCCCATTCTCGTGAACACAATATCTCAAGAACGCCTTGAGGGAAGTTTTTAACCTTTTGGTCAAAAGTCAGTGTGACCTCACAAAACATGATTCTGGTCATAACTCAAGAATTCATGCACTAATTATGACAAACTTCACACAAATGTTTAACAGGATAAAATGATGATGTGATGACATTTTTTATCCAAAAGGTCAAAGGTCAGCTTCACTAAGACATCATCATGTTCTGCATAAAACGCTTCTCAGGCCATTGTTCAGCATCATATCTCAGGAACAGAAGGGGAGACATTTGGTCAGATACTGAATTGGTGACTCTAATGTTGTGCTGATCGTATAGATCTTCTGTGTGTGAAGCATCCATGTTTTCACTGACATGGATATAAACTGTAACTGCAACCTGACTGATGTGCAGAGACGCACAATAGTGGGCGGTAATTGTAGTTATTGATATAATGCATAACTTTCAATCAATTTAATTTATTTTCCTTGCAGATATGAGGTTCAGTGCTTAAGATCTTTGCCTTAAAGGGGAACTAACGTTTTTTTCAACCTGGGCCCTATTTTCCAATCTACTTTTGTCTAAATGAGTGATAGGATGTTCAATATGTGACATGTCTCCAGTATGAAGCTAGGGCTGACCTGCCTGCAGCCCGTGAGCGCGCACAATATTAAATAATAGGGCACTCAGACAGCATCAAACAACGTCAAAATACGTCCACTAAAAGTGCATTTTTTTCACACAGATAGGCTCAGATTGTTAGTATAATTATCTGACAACATAACGGAAAGGGGAAATGAACGTGTGTGTTTACCTTTAGCTGGATTCAGACATGTTCCTCTGCCTGTTGCTGCTCCCTCTCTCTCCTCGTCCGCTCTTCAGTTTCAATGAGCTCTGCGTCTGTGTACGTCCGTGTACTCCGTGTTCAAATAAATACGGGCGCTCATCAAATTCAAATGGCTCATCCAGATCCACTTGGTCAAAATCGGATAAAAATTCAGCCATGACTACTCCAAACAGAGTAACTCCTCGCATTTGTAATGTCGCTCCAGCGGTAACTTCCTGCAGCAACTCAAATCTAGCAAGACATGAGATTTCAGAGCCAGACTTTGACGCTCTGAGTGAGTGTTTTGACTTGCCACAGCAAACATGTCCGAATTTTTACCCGATTTTGACCAGCTGGATCTGGATGAGCCATTTGAATCTATAAATCTTGTGTATTGATCTGCTCAGACCCAGAAACCACCATTTTTGGGGGTTCAGAAGAAACGTCAATGTTACCAAACGTTTTGTTGAAACTTTCCCACATTCCAACCGAATCGTCAGCATTGCATTTTATGTGTCTGCAAACCATGGGTACGTTACATTTGTAGCAGACATGTTGAACTACATTTCAACCACATTGTGTGGTTAACATGATGTTAGGCTTAGGCACAAAAAACATTTGGTTATTTTAAGGAAAAGATTGCATATGGCCTAAAATACCCTGGTTTTGAAAATGTTAAAGTTCACGTTTTCAGGCTTCATCGATCGGCATCCATCCTTTGAGTGACAGAGCAAATGTGATAGAATCCAAATTCAGAATGTAAATATATCTTTGCTTCTATTTTAGACCAAGTTTACTTTTAGAATACATCACAGCAGTTTGACTGCACTGTTTCAAGGTACTTTATTTGAGTATTTCTATTTTATGCCACCTTATATTTCTACTACATTACAATCCAGACAAATATTGTACTTTTTATTTTAAGATACTTTCTGCTTTAAAGCTTTAGTTACAACTTAAGAAGATGAAGCTACTCAGCAGTATGTGAAGTTTTAGTTAGCTTCACATTTACCAGCTGCAACATTAAAGACATGAACACATTAATGCGTCAGTAATTATAGTTAAGTAATATGACATATATCAAGGTCCATTCAGCATTATAAGGACATTTTTGAGGCTAATACTTTTGTGCTTATACTTGAGTGAGATTTTGAGTGCAGGAGTTGTAACAGAGAATTTTTACACTGTAGTACTGACACTTTTACTGCAGTAAAATATCTGAATGCTTCTTCAACCACTGAGTGTCTGAATCCATGTTTTTGTAACTTTAAAGGAAATTCTTCTAAACTGGAGCTTTAAGTGAAGTTTACAGGGGATTCTTGTCACATCCCACAGGTGAGTGATGCTGAGTGTGTGTGTGTGTGTGTGTGTGTGTGTGTGTGTGCGTGTGTGTGTGTGTGTGTGTGTGTGAGTAAGTGAATGACGGCAGGTTTTGCGTTGTGTCTTACAGCAGATTTGCGAGCTGGATCTCGTGCCGCACTCACGTGTCTGAAGAACGCCGAGTCACTGCGATCGGTGACACTGCTAATACACTAAGCAGGGATTATCAGTGCAAGACAAGCAGCCTGTGTGTGAGTGTGTAACCATGCATGTTAAGTGGGGCGTCATTTTCATTGTCTGTCACTAGAGTGTGTGTAGTGTTTGTGTGTGAGCATGTACAGTCAGGTCCATAATTATTTGGACAATGATACAGTTGTCATCATTTTGGCTCTGTACACCACCACAATGGGTTTTAAATGAAACAATGAATAAATGCTTAAAGTGCAGACTCTCAGCTTTCATTTAAGGCTTTTTTCAAAAATGTAGTATGAACCGTGTAGGAATGACAACCATTTCTTCACACAGTCCCCCGACTTTAAGGGCTCATAAGTATTTGGACAAACTAACATAATCATCAATTAAACAGTCAGTTTTAATACTTGGTTGCAAATCCTTTACAGTCAATGACTGCCTGAAGTGTTGGACACATAGGCATCATCAGATGCTGGGTTTCTTCCCTGGTGATGCTCTGCCAGCCCTTTACTGCAGCCGTCTGCACTTCCTGCTTGTGTTTTGGGTGTTTTGCCCTCAGTTTTGGCTTCAGCAAGAGAAACGCATGCTCAATTGGATTCAGGTCAGATGATATGACTTGACCATTGCAGAACATTCCACTTCTTTGCCTTAAAAATGTCTTTGATTGCTTTTGCAATATGCTTCAGGTCAATGTCCAACTGCACTGTGAAGCATCGTCCAATGAGTTTTGAAGCATTTGGTTGAATCTGAGCAGATAATGTAGCCCCAAACACTTCAGCTTTCATCCTGCTGCTCTTATCAGCAGTCACATCATCAATAAATACAAGAGAACCAGTTCCACTGGCAGCCATACATGGCCATGACATAACAGTACCTCCACCATGCTTCACTGATGAGGTGGTGTGCTTTGGATCATGAGCAGTTCCTTCCCGTCTTCCTTCTCGTCTTCCCATCATTCTGGTAGTTGATCTTTGTTTTATCTGTCCATAGTATGCTGTTCCACAACTGTACAGGCTTTTTAGATGGTTTTTGACAAACTCTAATCTGGCCTTCCATTTTTAAGGCTAACCAATGGTTTGCATCTTGTGATAAACCCTCTGTATTTATTCTAGTGAAGTCTTGTCTTGCTGACAAGAGCAGCAGGATGAAAGCTGAAGTGTTTGGGGCACCATTATCTGCTCAGATTCAACCAAATGCTTCAAAACTCATTGGACGATGCTTCACAGTGCAGTTGGACAATGACCTGAAGCATACTGCAAAAGCAACCAAAGACATTTTTAAGGCAAAGAAGTGGAATGTTCTGCAATGGTCAAGTCATATCATCTGACCTGAATCCAATTGAGCATGCGTTTCTCTTGCTGAAGCCAAAACTGAGGGCAAAACACCCAAAACACAAGCAGGAAGTGCAGACGGCTGCAGTAAAGGGCTGGCAGAGCATCACCAGGGAAGAAACCCAGCATCTGATGATGCCTATGTGTCCAACACTTCAGGCAGTCATTGACTGTAAAGGATTTGCAACCAAGTATTAAAACTGACTGTTTAATTGATGATTATGTTAGTTTGTCCAAATACTTATGAGCCCTTAAAGTCGGGGGACTGTGTGAAGAAATGGTTGTAATTCCTACACGGTTCATACTACATTTTTGAAAAAAGCCTTAAATGAAAGCTGAGAGTCTGCACTTTAAGCAAATATTCATTGTTTCATTTAAAACCCATTGTGGTGGTGTACAGAGCCAAAATGACGACAACTGTATCATTGTCCAAATAATTATGGACCTGACTGTACATGTATGATCCACAGACACAAACCCATTTTAACTACCAGTGATAATGTGCTCTTGTACTTCTTGTACTTCTATATTTGTGAAGACTGATTCTAATTTCAGAAAGACATTTTTGGAAACTGAGGATCTTCAAGTCAGCTGTTAGGTGTGTGTGTTTACAAGCATGCAAACCTGTTTTTAGAACCATTTAGAATTTAGGAATTAAACACCGAAAGGAAACACCAAAGAATCAACAGCAACAAACTGATACATATTATATTATTAATATTGAAATTTTCTGCATTTGTTTGCTCAGCAACCCAGTCACCAGAAAAAATTGTTGGCGTTGCATGTTTCTCAAAACCACCGATATGTCAGATTTGTATGTTACTATGTAGCAGGTTTGTTGAAACTTGTTGATGTAGATGTGTGGTCAGGTTTCAGCACCAAAACCACTGAGTTTTGATCTGGAAAATCATGCTTTGGTTTAAAATTCCTGGTTTTGGTGCACAATCCTCACTGAAAAAACAGTGACAGGTCGCTACAAAACACCAATATTGGTGCCTAAAAACCCATCAGACACACAGCCACAGGTTGCTACAAGATATAAACATTTCAATAAGGAAGGACTAGTTTTTATGGCAAAAGAATATTTATTAAAA